GTACTTTTAAAGGTATTTTAAATGTCTTTTTTTTAAGTCACCAGCTCAGAGATAGATACGTAAGTTAACAACCTCTAACAAAGAAATAGCACATTAGTTCTGAAATCACACAAAAATTACTTTCATTTAGAAAGAAATGTTTCTTAACATTGAACATACAGTGGGCTGCCAAGAGAACCAACAGGTCTGTCCTGGAGAGGGTGAAATCAGGTTGCTCGTTGGAGGCAAGGATTTTGAAACTCCAAGTTACATATCTGAGGCATACTGCCAGAAGGAACCAGTACTTGGAGAGGACATCAAGCTTGGAAGGGTAAAGGGTCAGCACAGAAGAGGAAGATCCCAGATCAGATGGACTGACCCTGTGACTGTGGTAATGGGGGCAGGTGTGTCACAGACAGTGAGTTCATCTCAAGATAGGTCAGGGTTCACAGGGTTGCTATGAGTCACGTCAACTAGATAGCACATAGCAACATTTGTTACTGTGAACACAATGCTTAGCAAGGCAAAGCATTTATGCTTGTGGAAACATAAAATTTTTAAAATGTACTTACAGATTATAAAAACTAAGAATAACAACAATCCCTCCTATGGGTATTCCATGCAAGCAGCCTTAAAAATATAAAGATAACTACTGAAACAGAAACAACAAAGACAAGAGGCAGCATTTTACTTCTGGAAGATGTCTCTGATAAAGAACACTAAAAATGAAAACATGGCATCTTTCTCCAGTTTTAGAAAACCAGCTGGGCCAGGATTACCAATCCAAAGCAGCCTGATGCTTCACTGTTTCGTTACCTACAAAGTCCTGCAGCACAAATTTTAGTGTCTGTGATACTCAAGAACTGACAAACGCAGCATAAAGCACCCCTTCTAAGGCTAAATAAATAAAACAAAAACCTGTTCTTTGGTGTTTAACAGGAATTACCATTTGTACATGCTTTACAAAAGAAACTATTTTTATATTTTGATATTTTTAAAGAGGTTCTGGTAAGCGAAATAAATTCCTTAAATTCAGATGTTGTATACTTCAAACAGTATGGACTGGGACTTCTGACTTCAGTGTCTGTGTTACAGCCCATCTGGAAATCTCTGTGATGCTGATGAGGCAGTGTTAGTGCAGGCTTGTCTCCTGAGTCAGTCTTTTTGAAGATACACTGTGGGTAGGCTCCCTGGAGTCAGACTGACTCATGGCTGACCCGCCTCCTACAGTTTTCAGAGACAGTAAAACACTCAGGAGGAGACTGCCTCCCTCAACTCAACTAAGAGCTGGTTCATTCTCGATAGCACACACAACAAAAAGACAGCAGGCCAAGGACTCAACTCAAATCACTGCTGTCAAGACAATTCTAACTCACAGAACTCTTCCTTCATGTTTCTGAGACTGTGAATCTTACCAGAAGGAGACTGCCCATCATTTACCCTCAGAGTCACTGATGAATTCAAATGACCAAGGACGAGGACCAAGGCCAACACACTACAGCCTATGCCACCAGAGGTCTGGAGAAAGGATACACCATATGCAAGTGCAAGCTGAAGAAAATCAAAGCAAGTTCATGGCAGCCAAAGCTGGACCTTGACTGGATCCCAGCTGTCACGGCCCTTTAATCAACCACTCAGTTATGAAAGTAGAAACTCCTCTGTGTAAAATAAATTGAGCTAAGTTACATTGTCCTTTAGAGTAAAAAAAATGCTTTTCGGAGTTGTCAGAAAATGCTCAAAAAGCAAAAAGATGCTACGATGGCATTAGTGATCTTTATATCAAAAGCTCTTTTAAATAAGATCTATGAAGCCAGGATCTTCGGTACTGAAATTCGGGGGGGCAACACTGAATAACATTTCTCTCACAGAGCCCACTGTAAAAGAATGCTCAAGTTTCCCTTTCCGAAAGGACTACTTTGCAAAAAAGAGAGACTATGTAACTGCTTTAAGCTTCCTAGATAAAATAGGTCACAAAAAAGCAACAGTGTGCCTTAAATAAGAAATATCACCTGCAGTTACTGTGCTGTTGTTAGGTGCCATCAAGAGTATGAGTCAGGGCGACCCTATGAGCAGATCTGAACCGTGATCTCTCCTGCACCGTCCTTGTCAACCCGAGCTCACCGCCACAGTAACGCAGTCATTCCATTTCCTTGAAGGTCGCCCTCTCCTTTGCTGACCCTCCACCTTTCCAAGCAGGACATCCCTTTCCAAGGAGAAGAAGCCTCTGTTAACAACATGCCCCAAGTATGTGAGAAGCAGCTTTGCCATCCTTTCCTCCTTTAAGTGGCACCCTGCTTGCACTTCCTCCAAGCCCCCTGTGTGTTCTCTTGGCCGTCCATGGGATATTCAGGAACTCTTCTCCAACACCACAGCTCAAAGGTATTCATTCTTCGTCTGCCATCCTTATTCCCTGCCTAGCTCTCAGACGCATAGCAGGTGATTTTGAAAGACTGTGGCTTGAATCAGACACATCTTAGTCTTTAAACTAGTATTCATCATTCACTGCTCCTTGGTATTTTGGAGAGGTCTCTGACTGCAGACTTTCCCAATGTTATATGTCTTCTGATCTCTTGACTGCTGGTACCAAGGATGTTGACTGTGGAAATTATCGACAGTGACAATCTTTTCTCTATCACGATGCTGTCTATTGGCCTACTGGTGAAGACTTGTTTTCTTGACGTTGAGATGTATTCCATATTTAATGCTATACTTGTTATTGGTCTTCTGCTGTAAGTGCTCAAATCTTCCTTGCTTTCAGTAAGCAAAGGTGTGTCATCTGCACCACGCAGGTTGTTGATGAGTCTTCCTCCACTCCTGATGCCACGTTCTTCTTCACAAAATCCAGCTTCTCAAATGAGGTGCTCAGCAATATAACTGAACAGGTATGACCAAAGGACATAGGCCTGATGCACACCTTTCTTGATTTTAAACCATGCAGTGTTCCCTTGCTTTGTTCAGACCACAGTTTCTTAGTTTACGTATAGGTTTCATATAACTATAATTCAAGTGTTCTGGAATTCCCATTCTTCTTAATGTTGGTCATAGTTTATGCTCCACACAGTCAAATGCCTTTACAGAGTCAATAAAACACAGACAGAAATTCTCTTATTATTCTTTGCTTTCAGTGTCAAGATTCATCTGATATCAGCAATGATATCCCTGGTGCTACGGGATATCTAAAACCAGCTTGAACTTCCGGCAGTTCTCGTTAATATACTGTTCCAGCTGTTTTGGGATGATCTTCAGCAATATGTTGCTTGCATGTGATGTTAACAATATCGTTCCATAATTTCTACATTCTGCTGGGTCACCGTTCTTGGGAACGGGAACAAATATGGATCTCGTTCAGTCAGCTGATCAGACAGCTATCTTCCAAATTTCCTAGTACAGTGTGGTCAGCATATCCGGGGCTGCATATATTAGTTAAGACATGTCAATTAAACAGCTTAAACACACACACACACACACACACACACACACACCCAAATAACTTGTCAACTGGTATCCCATCAATTCCTGAGGCCTTATTTGTTTTTTGCCAGTGTCTTCAATGCCACTTTCATTTCTTCCCTCATCACTGGCTCTTTATCATATAATTAGTTGGCCTTGAACATCACGTCCTTTTAAGCACTATCTATAGGATCAATGACCATCTCTTTACCATCTCTGGATAGGTACCATGCCTGAACCCACCTCCTGGACAGGCAAAGACATCATCTCTAGCCAGGTAGATTAACCTAGGCTCCTCAGAGGCCAGCAGAAACTGTCCCAGGATGAGAACTCCACCTCTATGACACACTTTACACACCCACTAGAAAGAAAGAGGTGCTGCCCTTGACCTGACCCACATCATGGGGCCTCAGTCACTACTCTAAACACTCTGATCTTCAGCTGGATTGACAGACAGCCCGTCCAAGACCAGAGAGTCTGTATGCTAGCTCCCATGGCACACAGGTTTTTGTTCTGGTATTTGTATGCTTACTTGTTTTCTAGTTTGCTCTCTGACAGTAAAGCACTTGTCTGTCAGTTTGCTGTACTGGGACAACTTACAATTTGCAGGGATGCTGGAAGTTATAGAAGCATAACTACTTCTACTCTTTGACCCAATGATTCTATGCCTAACAAGTGTTTCAGAAGAAATGTAGACGTGTGCCAAATGACTAGTACAATGACATTCACAGCAGCATGACTTGCAACAGCTAGGAAATCCAAATGTGCTGTGTACTATAAGGCTGACATTCAGAAAGAGGTAAAATTAGAAAGAAAAGGAATGGAGTCAATACCAGAAAGCTGGTGGCAATCTTTTTGTTTGTTTGTTTGTTTGTTTTGTGTGTGTGTGTGTGTGTACTGTCAAATCAGATCTGACTGGTACAGGAAGAAATTGTCCCTCCTTCTCCAGCAGAGCATCTGGTGGATTCGAACTGTGCTCCTCTGGGATTGCAGTGCAGCTTCTTGCCACTAGGCTACCAGAGCTCCCTTGAGGGCAATTTTTTGAAGGGGAGAAGAAAACCCTAAAATGCTGGCAATGTCCTTTATCTTAATCTGGGTGGTAGGTAGTTACATGAGAATTCATTTGACCTCATTCTCTGATGTGTACATTACGCTTTACCCACTTTCCTTCATCTATGCTGCCTTTCACAAGGGAGAAAGGATACATCTTATCTTATATCTTATCATAAACAGAACCAGTTAAATTACTTCTCATCAGCTCAAAAATGCAGAGCTTTTTCCCATATGATGTTACACCGAAGGCACATGTTAAATGATATCAAATTATTCAGAAAACTTAAAATATTAAAGGTCGAGTGTAATACCCTCTCAAATTAAAATTCTCCAAACACACATGCACACACACTTTACAGACTCATAACCAATATTTAGATAAACACATTACTGATAGAGGTAATACCTAGGAATACCTGATCTGTCAAAATAATTTTCCATTTTATTAACAAAATAGTATCATATTTTAGATTACTGAGTTTCTTGTGAGACATTTATTAGGGAAGTTCCAAACTCACCTCTCTGTTGGGTATACCTTCGTCCAGCTGATCTGTAAATGAAGACGTCCTGCTTCTGGTTCTCGTTGGTGTTGATGAATTGGAGGAAGCCTAGAGTGAACGATCGATGTGTAGGTTAGAAAGATCTACTGACTACTGCATCATGGACTGTCTGGGCTTTTTCTCAGTCAATGCCCACAAAGGGAGCTCGAGGGGTCTAGACCACAGGAAGGGGTGCTGCCAACTCCAAGGCTGGCAGCTTGAAAGCAGGGCGATCTCCTCCTGTGCGATGTACAGACTCTGAAGACCCACTGGAGGTCAGCTATGAGTCAGTGCCGACTTGTCAGCAAAGATGCCAGTGAAAAACAGCAAAAGCGCAAAAACTTGGGAAGCAGATACGGAAAACTAACCAACAATCACCTATAAAACCAAGGCAGTCTACGGGTGCTGACCTGACTGCCACCAGCAAGACACTGACCTGCTTATCATTTAAAAGGGAAAGTTTCAAACTCCTTGCCACCACCTCAGAATATACTTATGGCTTATAGCTGACCCTCTAGAGAGTTACTGGAGGCTGTAAATGACACGAGAGACCACTGTCCACCTTTCTCCTGCAGAGGTGCTGGTGGGTTTGAGCCACCAGAGAGCTTAGTTAGCAAAGCAACTCCCTACTGACTACGTCACCAGAACATAAGATTATATTAAGGGAAACCGACACTGGGTGAGGGATACACGGAATCTCTTTGCACGATCTTTACAACACTATAAACTAAAATTTTCAATTACAAAATTTAAAATTTCACTAAAAAAATAAAAAGGTTGTCAAGTCAGTTCAATCTTTAACGTCCCTTCCAATTCTAACATTCAATACTATGAAATTCATAGGTCAAGAGAGTCTTCCCAAATCTCAAATCCAGGGTTTTGCAAGCCTGTGAGGTAAGTGAAAAGACCACAGCTTGGGTTGCACACATCTCAATTATCAAAGGATCAGCTCTGCTTTTAAAAACGTTAAGAGGGTCCTTTGTAGATTTGTCCAATGCAATACGTCATTTGATTTTCTGACTCTTGCTTCCAGGGGCTTTGGCTGTCAATACTCAAAACCCTGGCTCCCTGCCATAGTTATTCTTCCTGTCCGTGTGAGCCCCTAATGCATTGAAAACATGTGATTTTAACCGGCTTAGTTTCACAAGTAGTCTTCCAGTCTGCCCTTCCTAGTCGGTCTTAAGTCTAAAAGCACTGAAACCTGTTCAATATCATAGCAACAGACACATCTCCAACTGACAGATGGTGGCTGAACGAGGCTCACTGGCAGACAACTGGTCCCAGGTTTTCTGCATGGAAGGAGGAAATTGTACCAAATTACCACCGTCCTCTAAATATTTAAGCTATTTTAAGAATTTGAATCACAATATAAATACAAGAAATGGAAGCAATGAAAGAAAAAATTAGTCTATTTCTAAAATCTCTGAATATAGAAGATATTTTTATAACAAAAATAGAAACCAAAGGAACATTTAAACTATGAGGAAGAAAGGAGCATCTCTAAAATATGATGAAAGCTTCATTATCTTTTAAGAATTAACATTTTTTTAATAAATGCAGAAGTTAGAACTCCGAGAACTCGCTAGCCCAGTGTTCCTCTCATCTTAAAAACAGGTAACCTGAGCTCCATCAAAAAAACACACACCACGGGAGACTCCCAGTCATAAGTAAGCAACTGGTGCAAACAGACATAGAAACTCAAGTTCAAGATCATATACTGAGAACAGTAACTCTAAGACAAAGATTAAGTTATTTATGGGGCAAAGCCTCTTGGTCATTGGTGGTGAAATAATATGGGGGAAGATAGCAAGAATGAAGAAAGCAGTATCATTGAAACGTACATGTAGAAATTGTTGAATGGGTGTATGATCAGATGTGCGTAGTGTGTGTCTCTCTCTCTCTCTCTCTCTCTCGGAAAAACACACAGCCCCCCAACAATCAAGATCATCTGGCAAGCATGGAGACAGAGCTTCAGTCAGCCAGACAAAAGCTGGGCAGTAGAAACCACAACACTGGTGCAAAAAAAGAAGCAGCTGCAGAATTCTCATCAGAGCAGTCCACAACGTGACTGGATACAGCAGTCAGCTCAGACCTTCTAACCCTCACTGAATAAGCTACAGAACAGCTTTTAGTAAATTCCTTTCCATCTGACCAGCCAGAATGAGTTTAGATGCTGTAAAAAGAGCGAGGGTCACTTGAGGAGTGCCTTGTCTGACCTCTGCCAACTTCACAGGAGGAACTATTCCCGCCCACAGCATCAGTAACACAAAACAAGTTCTCATGAGGCCAGGTATGTCCCCCACACTCGCATCCCTCCTTCTACTCAGTTTAACACCAATCTTGCTGCTTAGCTTAGTCCAAAATCCGATGTGATAGCTCGCAGACCACACAGAAACATACTAGGGAAGTTAAAAGGTTGTACTTCAGATTAGTAACAAAATACAGTCAATACAACTCCCAAGTTGTGCACACAGGCACCTCAGCCTCGAGCCTCATGGCTCGAAATGTTCCCAAGTTTTCAGTCCTGCCAATAGTGGCTTCACCCCGACCCCTTAGCGCCCCACCTCACATCCAATTCTCCAGGCCAGCCATTCCTGCTGCTGCCATCCTGAATGGATTGGGGGACATCTCTCTTCTTTGTCTAGGTAAAGAATTTCTTGTGTTGCAGGAATAATTCCTTCTGGCAGGGGAAATATTTCTATTCTCTGCTGCTAGAGCTGTTCAATTTGTTGGTGAGACTAGCCAATCCTCTTGTGGAATGGTAGATAAAAAACTGCTTTGTGGAAAGGCCTGCACGCCTCCCTCACACAATTCCACCCCTCCACATCTACACGAGACGCTTACAACTAAATACTCCAATAAACAAACTCCTAAAAGACGAGACAGAAAAATCAACACAGGATAAATGAAATCAATTATGTACAGAAGTCATGTTAAGGGTAAGGTAGCCTCCCCACCTTGGGCCAAGTGTTAAGAGTAAGTACTTGAAATTTATAAAGAAAACAGTTGAATATGACATAAAGCTGGAGCCATATTAATCATGCAAATGTCTAGAAAATGTATGGAGAAAAATCAACACTGTACTTGGAAAATGACAACTGATCCAGGATCAAGGCTAAGTCACACACGTACAGAGCACTTCAGAATGAAGCTTTCAATGACGTCTAGGGAAATTCAGTAAACCCACTGCAAACTAAGCTCTCATTTTCAAATCCTGCTAGCTAGTCTTGAGATTCCTTGTAGATACTTCAACAGAACTAAGGGAGTGGGAGGAACAACTCTGCATGGATCTATATGAATGTCAGAATTTTAATCAATGGGCTAACCAGAGGGGGTGATTTGAAATTAGAGTAACGAGTAATTAGAAAAATGCCGAACTAGAAGAAACAGCCTCTGATCAGCCAGCTCCTTTCACTGTGATTCCATCTACCCAAGAAGTCTTTTGGCTGTTAATTCAGCTTTCAAAATAACCAGATGCCAGAAAGAGGTATCCAAGTCAATGGCCTTTCAGTCAATGGCAAGGACATGCACAAATATGTCTTATACTTGAACTTTGTGTGAGTCTAGTCAACGCTAAGAGCCTTGTCAGTTCTCGACCAACCAACAAGATCAAATGTTGTTGTTTATAATAATAATATATAAACAATATATAAACATTGTTCTAAGTTGAAGACTAGGTCCTAGGAAAAGGATTCTCAGTAAAGGTTCTCAGAAAAAGGATTCCGACTTGATTTCTCTGAAGTTGCCCCTGTAGGGAAGGAATCACGTGAGGGAGCGGAAGTGATCAAAAACCATAGAACATTGCAAAAAGTATGAACTATACATTCAGTTCATGTCCCACTGCCTGGATCTTTAAAGGGCTAGCATCAGGTCAACAGTACGAAGGAGCTCAATTACTCCAAAGCAAACTTAGGCTGGATAATTCTCATAGCCATTCTGATGACAGATTTCTAAGCTATTTACCAGGAAACCTGATGGCTACAGTCAAGTTCATGATTAATATTTATTACCTATTTTTTAACTGACCACAGATCTCAAATGCAGTGTAAAAACCATGTTAGTCACTGCTGACGGTTGGATTCTAAGATGACTGTCACCTTGAACATGATGAGGCACAATCTCCAAAGCACTGCATTATACTGAACATGGGACTTTCCAGGTCTATTTAAAGTCACTAACCACATGATTTTTAATTAATCAAAAGGAGATTATCCGGGCAGATCTAACCTAACTACATCAGCCTTTAGCAGAGAAACAGATTGCTACTAACCTACAAGAAAACAGTAAGACTTCGGAGACGATGTAATAAGAACTTTCGAGACCTCCAAGAGTAAGAGATGGTTCCTGGTTGACAGGAAGAAATGAGGATCTCGGTCCTACAACCACAAGGAATAAAATTCTACAATGGCCAACTCATAGTTTGTTATGCAACATTAAGAAATGTGTGTCACCATCTTTAGCCATAAATCTTGAATGTCTGGTACCATGACTTTTTACTATCATTCAAAACGCCTCAGATGTCACCTTGTCCCTCTCCGGGAATGCTCAGAGGGCCCTGAGCTCCACATCCCAACATGGACAAGACAGCATGGGAGGAGTGTTCGGAGATCCTGAGTGCAGAATCCGGTCACTTTACTCCATGCTAAGATCTGATCTACAAAATTGTGAAATAATTAATGGATATTGTTTAAACCACTAAATGAGTAGTAATTTGTTATGCAACATTAGGAAATGTGTGTCATCATCTTTAGCCATAAATCTTGAATGTCCTGTACCATGACTTTTTAATATCATTCAAAAGGCCTCAGATGGCACCTTGTCCCTCTCCGGGAATGTCTTCTTGCGGATTATTCCATGGTGCCAATACACTGGGAATATCTGTCTCTTTCCCCCACAGTACAGAGATTACAACTGTCTTACAAGATAAATGCAGTACACAGCACAGCACCTGGCACTCAGCAGACGCTGTTAAATAAGTAAGTACTCTATACAATTACACAGTGTTTGCAAACCCTTTATCTCTCAGTTCTCACAACCAAGTGAAAAGTAAGCGGGACAGATAT